AGGAAAAGCGGCCCCGCCGGCGGCTCCAGAGAAGCCTCTCGCTGCGGACAGACGCGGCGCTTGGAGACATGCACAGAAATAAGTTTATTTCCCCGACCGTCAGGCTGATGAAACCACAGAAGCAGAGTTTAAATATTTACAGAGCAACGCAGCGCCCCGCGGAGATCAAGGGAACAAAAGGCTGGGGACGGAGGGCCGGGCCAGGCTGCAGCTCGGCCGGGGACGCGGAGGGGGCAGAAACCCGGCGGCTGCGGGGTGAAACGGGCTAAAACTTTAATGTGGCTGTTCCAAAGGGGCGCTGTGAAGCGGGGGCGAGCGCGAGCGGGAGCGGGGCAGGCGCTGCCCTCCCTCGCGGCCAACGCGCAGCCGCACCGCGAGCGCCTCCGGCCAGAACCCAGACCCGGGCGGAACCGCGGGGAGCGAAGGAGCAGGACCCGCCGCGGCGGGGAAGGGCACTCGCCACGTCCGCAGACACCCGCGCGCAGGGGACGGGGCAGCAGCGCCGCTCCGGCCGCCCCGGCAGCTCCGCGTCTCAGTAGCAGGCTTGTCTGTGCAGCTAGCGATAAAACACCGTGAATCGACTCGCAAGAGAAGACCTAAGAGTCTCTAGGTTATTGCTACTACGTAAGACAGGTTGGCTTCAGCCCTGGGGCCAGGGACTCCTAGCACTTCCTTGGCAGGTCCCTCTGAGTAACTACATTTAAAAAATAATAATAAAAATTGGGGCAAACAACTCCTCTCTCCTGTTCAGCTGGCTAGTCCTAGGGCACATTAACTAGCAGGCTTGCTGGGCAGGAACCACAGCAGCACAGGGTAACTCAGCGAGACATCGTCCTTTCATTGCAAGGTTCTCTTTGATGCAAGATCTTGGCCTCCTCATCAGCCCCAGGCCCAGCTATCAGCATCCTCCAGCCTGCTCTCCACTCAGCCTTGAAATGACTGCGCGGGAGACGCTGACTGTTCCAGCTCCAGGAGCAGGGGAAGGGCGCAGAGGGCCGCACGCATCCTCCCTTCCAGCCAGCAACGCCAGCACGAGCGCTCAACGACACAATTAAAACACAGGGAGGAGGAGGAGGTTTAAGGGGCTGTTCAAAACTGATGCAGGAAAAGAAAACGCTGAAATGCTGAAGCCCAAGATGCCCGAGTCCTCCCATAAGCCTAGGAAAAGCCAGGGGGAAAAAAAGCAGATGGGGAGGTGCACAGGGACAGTTTTGACAGGCAGCAGGGTGACTGCGAACGCGCTGCCAAAGTCAGAGGAAGCCCCAAGGATGAGACGCAGTCAAGAGGAGCTTTCTTGATGGTTTTCAGCCCCAAGAAGCAGTCGTAGCCAGCAGGTACTGCAGTAAAGGGCTGGCCTTGCAAAGAGGGAGTGGAAAAACTAACTCCTGCTTTGCAGCATGGGGGAATGTGCTCGACTGCACGTAACCCTTCGGCCACGATGCTCTTGAGGAAGCCACCTCCCTGCACAAGGGCAGCACCCGCAGCCAGCCCCGCACCTCGCGCCACGGACACGGCTCGGGGCACCGCGAGGCCCGTCCCTCCCGCTGCCCCCCAAAAGGCCACGAGACCCCGAGGCTGCCCGGCTGGCACGTCTCGTGCCCAAGGCTGGTGCTACAAAAGCGCTTTGGCACACGTGGGCGAGCGCTGTCTCTTCTTCAAAGCAAGCCAAGCAGTTTGCAGACCTTCCTGCTCACTGCCCTGCAGCCAGCTGCAAGAAAGCAGCCCGGCTGCCACGGCGAAGCCCAGCCCCTGGGACACAGCAACCTGCCAATCCCGTCACCTCTTCCTTTAATCTCCGACACCCCAGGAAGGCTCAGGACCCGGGTGCTGCTCTCCAAGGCCTGGGTGCTTTCAAAGCCCTGCCCTAACCCGTCCGTTGGCACGTACCTGCTGCCGCCGCCTCAGCGATAAGCTGTGACACATGAAGCACCAGGGTTCAAAGGAAAGTTAAGTGGCTTGTGAGACGCGAACGGCAGGTTTAGGCATTCAGAGCACAGAGGAAGCAGGGAAGCTCTATTTTCTCTGGCACAAGCCGAAAGGGATTTGGCCCATTTCTGCAGCGTGCTCTTGGAAGCGTGCAGACTGCTCTGAGCCAGACCCTAGCCAGGCAATCTGCTTTCTTGCTGTTCTGGGCTCACTAGCAGGACCAGATGAATTTGCCCTACCAGGGACTGCTCCCCTCTGCATCTCCTCAGAGCAGTGCCCAGCCATCAACACCCTTCTTTTGCTACGGGGAAGACTGTCAGCCAGTGCTGTGGCACTGCACAGCCCTCAGAGAAGCCCCACTCCTCCACTTTGAAACGTGCTGCAAGGGAGGCATGCAGAAGGGAAACAGCTTCTCGCCCTTGGAGACTCAGGAAATGTGAGGAAGCATCTGAAAGTCTGACCAGAGAAGGAAGGTGATCAGAGAGAACCTTACAAACGTACCTGCTTGTGCTCTTGAACCAGGGGGCAGGGTTGGCCTCGCGGCCCTACCTCACAGTGAAAGAAAAGGTGCCCACCCCTCTCCTCCTTTCCCAGTTCTACCTAATAAAATGCAGAGGGGGAGCACGTTCAGGGAGACATGGAGGCTTTGGGACTCCAGCACTGGCAGACACCGCTGACAGGATGAAAACAGAGGGAGAAGAAGCCAGTGCCAGGAAACAAAGACGAGAGCAGTTACTACAGAGTGGAGCTTTCCCCAGTAAAGGCCTCTCGGAGTCCTGTGCCTCCACCTCGCCGGATCGAGCGGACACAGTTCCCTCCTTCGTGCACCCCTGGAGCGGGGGTTCACAGCTGCCATCACCGCAAGCGAAGGGTCAGAACCACCGTCAGGATCACCCCCAAGAAGAGGGCAAAAGGAAGCCAGGTCTTCACAAACCCCCCTATGCTGAAAGATGGAGAGAAAAAAAAAAAGAGTTAAAACATAAAAAAAAAAACAGCAGAAAAGGACAAGAGGGAAAGATGTGAGGATAACTGGAGAAACTGCAGGGAGATGCAGTGCCATTCGGACTTTCTTTATCTGTTGCTGGCACTGAATCTAGGCTGGTCCTCAGCTCACCTTACGTACTTCCCATACAGCAGTGAGAAGAAGCAGAGTTTGACCATGTTCCAGGAGGTGCTGTTATCGTATCTCATCAAGTTTAAGGCCAGAGCCACATGCGAATGGCAGTTATCACAGCAAAGGTTGTGCTGGAACAGAAATAAGAGGCACAGCCTCAGAAACGCTGTCCCCGAGGCTCCACGAGGGCCCAGACAGGGCAGCAGCGCCGTACCATCCGGTGCTTGTACTCCTCCGAGGCATCGTGCACGGCAGTGTCCCACGCATTGGGACTGGTGGAGCACACTTTGCCAGGATCCAGCTTCCAGTACCTGCAAGGAGAACAGATCCCTCCATTTAGCGCTGCTCCTCGACACCTCTTGCTCTTCCCAGCAGGAAGCTGCTCAAAACAGGACTTGGGAGCAATGCGCTGCCGCAGAGCCCCAGGAACCACGCTGCTCGAGGCGAGTGAACGCTGCAGAGAGCAGCAGCAAGGAGCGCTCAGCACCCTCAGACCCAGAGCACCCCGACGGGGAAGGCGCAGGCCCCAGGGGCACGGAGCAGTGTCGTAACTGCTATTCTCTTCTGACAGGAAACCTCCAGGCCATGCAAAATAGACACTCGATCTGACAAACATACGAAACTTGGGAATCCCCCTCCCATCCCTTCCTAGAAAAACACTAATAAGAAGTGAGTGATGACAGTTCATTACCATAACATAGCACATGTCAAGTGTTATTTACTTGAAGCATTTGTTGCCAACATTAAAGTGTTTTAACTTTTTTTTTTAAGGCTCCATACAACTATAGCTATTAATACAGCTACCTTGCTGTCACCTCTAAAAAAAATTAATATGTTTTTTGGAAAGCAGAGACACAATAGCCATCCATTCGAATAAGGGCATCTGACCACCAAGAATGTTGTACTGTGCCTGTCTCCATGTATTAAAGGAGATTTGCAGGTCAGTTGGTTACTTTAACAAAAAGTTACAAGAGCACTTACTTCACTGGCTTCCCAAATGCCATGTTGTCTTCCTGGAAAAAGAGAGAAAAATGTCTCAAGAGAGGAACTGCGCACAATATTCATGATATGCCTCCCTCTGGAAGACCTCAGAGTCTGGAGTCTGTGGTTGTTGGGTGATAAAACTGACATTTCAGCAGCAGTTTCAAGGCACCCACCTTATTTGAGTGTCTGGATTTGGATTTTGACTGTTATCAGACTCCTTTTCTAGGCCTGAACATACTTATACTATACACACTAAGACATAGCCTGGCTATGTGGCACATGCACCCTGTTTCTCTCCTTCTTTATGGTTAACAGATTAACTCAGAGTCGTAAATGTCCTGCTCTGTTAGAGTATGAATTACTCTGACTTTAAACACCCTTTCTTTCAAAATCAAACTTTACAAGGCTACCACATACCTGCTCCTAAGCTATATGACAACAACGGGTGCTCTGACCAAGTTAGCAGGCAGTGGCCAAGCTCTTGCTGTAAGAATTTAGGTCCAACGTTCTCCGCCTAGAGCATGGGCTACAAGATTCCTTCCCTCCTGCTCACCAAACCAAACCAGTCCCTATTTATCGTATCATCCAGATGCCTGCATTGGACAAAAGTCCACAGAGAAATGACATGATCCTCAGAAGCCTCTGAAGTCGTTATTTTGCAGAATTCTGAGCGGCAAAAACCAAGGAACAACTCCAAAGTCCTGCATAAAGGTGAAACCCGACCAAGAGCAGATTCCTGCTCGATGACCATCGCGCACTCACCGAGACGTAGTAGGGCCCCGCAAAGTCCCGGATGACTCCTGCCGACGTGCAGATCCCCATGTGGCCGATGATCGGGAAGAGCCACCTACGAGGAGACACGTGAGCCCGTCAGGCCGCGGTATCTGCGATATCTGCAATATCTGCAGTATTTGCACGTGGTGCCGGGCGCTGCCGGAGCGCCGTACAAGGAACCGCGCGGCGCGGGACGGACGGGCACAGTGAGAGAGTTACACAGGGAGAGCCAAAAAGTGGCAAGCAAGAGCTAGAAGAGACACAGCAAGGCACAAGCAAAGGGAAAACACACAAGGGATACTCACACTCACGCCTCTCCTTGGCTAATAGATCTAGGGTCTTATCTGGGGGGTCGTCAGGCTCCACAGCTTCACCTTGAGCGGCTGCAGGGGCAAGTGTCTGCACTACGCACATCCCTGCCCAGGGAAGCCTGTCTCCCAGGACAAATCCATGTGTTTTCCAGGAAAATGGTTCAATTTGGAAGAAATCACCTCAAAATAAAACTAGACTTCGCTCTTCAGCTGAGAAATGAAGCAATTTTACCCATATTCCCATCCAGATCGCATCTTTTCACCGTGGAGTGGATTTTAAACATCCCAGACAGAAAACAGGGCTCCTGGCCCCCACAAAAGGATTCCCCAGCCTCAAGGACCCCTCTGCTGCAAGGGCCTCCCCCTCTTCCTCCCAGGTATCTACAGCCCCAGCAAGTGGGGAGCTGTGTCCCACCCCGCTCCCATCATCACCAACAAACATCTCAGGCTCCCCCCTACCTTCTCCTCTCAGATTTGCCGACTCCTCTCCACTTTCTCACTCCTTTCCCTGCCAGCAACTAATATTTCAGCTGAGATCACAGCCAGGTTAAACAGAAACAGGTTCCCCAGCCAGGGCTCAAGTAGAGACAGCCTAGAAACAGGGAGCGAAACGAAACGGCACCCAAGCGCTCGGGTGCTGCAAGGGCAGACGAGCCACACGCGCCCAGAAGCCCAGCTGGGGTTATAAACAGCACACGACTCCTGCTAGCAACGTAACTCTCCACGGGGCAGAAGGGATTCTGCAAAGTCGGGTTCGTTTTCTGCGTTTGCATCACTTACCGCCTGCGTTTCACTCTGTGCAAGGCAAAGCAGCCAGTTTCACTATCCAGAGACTGGCCTGCACTTTCAGCTATGTGTTCTGGCTGATAAACGTTGTCAGAGCTTTGCTGCGTTTAAAAGTTCTGCTATTTCTTCCCTCAAGTCCCTTTTCTTTCCCCTCCTATCTCAAAATTGACTAGTTTTCAAGCCTCCAAAGACAAGGACCATAGGAAATTCAGAAGAAAACGCAGCTACTACAACACTTAACAAGAGCCTCCACCTAGTAACACTGCCCAGTTTGCTGCTGCATCAAGAAGATGCCGCTGCCGTTTGGGGAGCGAACCCACAAACCCTGATGCCTGGGACCTCCAGCAGCGGGAGCAGCTGCTGCCTCTTCCTCAGCCCCAGCAGGAGGGAAGAAACAGAAAAGCTTTGAAAACCTTCCAGGACAAGACTAAGGGGGAAACTTCAAACAATCAAAAAAGAGGTAGAAATTAAGGCTGTTTTACAGCTGTAGGTGATGGCAACATGGGAGCTGCAACATTTAACTCTTTTTTTGGTGAGGAATAGGGTCATTCCCGCCCTGGCACAGGCCACACCACATCTCCCACCTCCCTTCAAGCTCTGGTCAGCAAACACATTATCACCACACTTTAATTGGAGGGCAAGGGAAAGGCATGAGAACAAGTCACTTGTTTTTTGTTTTCAGAACATCCTCAGCGACGTGTTTGGAGCTTTTCGTGTTCCTGAGAGGCAGGAACACCCCGAGCTCCTCCCTGCAGGAGCTCCCGCCAAGCCGCGTTACCGCGTTACCCGAAGGCAGGAGGCGCCTTGGGGCAAAAACCCGGCTTTCGAGGACAAGGCGCCGCGCGCGGCCCGGCCGGCCGCACTCACGTGAGCACGGGGATGGGGGTCCACACCACGCAGAACGGGAAGCGGCCGCGCTCGGCGTCCAGCCCGGCCCCGCCGCC